TCCACATCTTTATCCATTGAGACTGGCCATGACAGTCGTGCTAAATGCTCTACCGGCTCTTGTGCTCCTGAAGTGGCCCTTCAGATAGGCTTGCATAGGTCTGGGCAACCTCTGGTTGGCAGCAAGGCTTCTGTATCTCTTTGTTGTGATGGTCACCAGCATTTTGCAACCCAACCATCACAACCTTACCCTCCGAAGACAGATAGTGGGCCACGGGCCGTCTCATTTTATTGCATGGGAATCACCAGCGGCTTCTATTGAGGAAATCCGTCTCTGCACAGGTTGCCAGCTGCATCAGCCTTTAATGGCACACCTGAGGCCACGCTGCAAATGGCAGCATCGTCACATTAAAGAAAAGCGACTGGGAGCCGGCAAACACACACTCACTGAGTACAGTTAATATTACTTTTGATAATTTAAGAGGTAAACGCACGTGCTTATAAGGATCCCCATCCATTTCCGCCCTATCGATTGCCAGATTAAAATAAATTATGAAGTATGTGGGCAAAATAATTTTTTAAAAAATAAACTTCTCATATACATACACAACACCCAGATATACACAAAGGCTGAGTTTGCATAACATGGTTTGTTTGTTTGTTTATTTATTAAATTTGTCCCCCGCCCATCTCCCCCCAATGGGGGACTCTGGGAGGCTCACAGTATGTTAAAACAATAAATAAATATACAATTAAAACCTATAACAATACACATTCACAAATGGTTACCGGATTAATCCATTTTCTGGGTTCCAGCAATAGACAGCAGCATAAACTAATTACAAGCTGGGTTTACAAAGCCCTCCAAAACACAAATCACATCTAACCAAGGTTAGAAACACACCAAAGTTAGCAAGCACAAATACAAGCATGAGGATTTTAAATGACCTGGTTAAGCTTTTCATGCAAACCCAGCAAAGCCGTGTATATAACCTAGCCCATACATTACATATACAGTCTTACACACACAAAGAATCCCAAGACCATGAGTTCTAGTCCTGCTTTAGGCACAGAAACCACTTGGGTGACCTTCGGTCAGTCATTCTTCTTAGCCCTAGGAACAAGGCAATGGCAAACCACTGCCAAAATCTTGCCAAGAAAGCTGCAGGGTCTAGTCCAGGTACTTGCAAGAAGTCAACACTGATTCAAAGGGACAAATATGCGCACGCGCGCACACACACATTTCTAGCACCCGGGGAGAAGAAAAGAAACCTGCAAATAATAAATAGCTATTTTACAGTATATGTCTAGTACTGTCTATGATATCTGTCTGTACAAGTAGAAACTGGGGTTGCTCCTATGTTGATGTCAGATGCAAGCAATACATTTACCAGACTTCTAGCCCTTTAGGACTGAGGATCAACTGATTAGTTATCTGGACAACTATGAATCTCTTGAGAGCTATAAAACACACACAAAAATAATGTGAAATGTTTCTATATCTATACACAAAAGGCAATTCCCAACATTAATTCCACTCATCCAACAATTTAAGGAATCAGAAACTCATAGCTCTCCGGATGTTGAAGTAAAATTCCCATGATTCCTCATCATCAACCAAACTGCCTTGAGCTAATGAAAGTTAATATTCAATAATATGCCAAAATACCCCTGTTGCCCATCATTACATTTCAGACAGAAAAACCAAGAACAGACCAGGTAGCACCAGGAGAGGTTCTTAAAATGATTATTTTTTTTCTTTAAGTGTCTTTTTGAAAATATTGTAAAATGTTATATGGTCAGCCACTTTGACAATCCCTAATGGAATGAAATGAATATTGTTAAATAAATATTTAACAATAAACAAAAATAGGCCCCCAATGACCGTACAGACGATGGTGGGTAATTAGGGTAGCAGCAAACAGCACCATTTCTTTCTTGCTTCCTATTTTTATTAAACATTATACTCAAGGGGCAGTTAGTTAGGGATGTATATAGATGGTTTGTACAGAGACGCATAATTACATGCATTTTTTTTTTTTATTCTAATAAAACATTTGGTTGATTAAATGTACCCCTTTCTCCCATTAAGCTAAACTATGCTGTTGTGTTTATTGATAGAACAGGAAAGAAGTCCTAATTTAACTCACTAACTGAATGCAAAGGATTCATTTTGTCTTTGTTTCACAAAGATAGGTATTGGGACCCTCAGCTCCCTGCTGGAAGGGGGTTCTATCATAGAAAATCCGAACGCAAGAAATACAGCACCCCTTTTATGCCCCCCCAGTGGCTGCTGTAGGATCATTTTCTACACAGCACGAATATCTGAATGAATTTAGGGGGCAAACCTACTTAACATTTAAAAAAATGTCCCATAACAAATAAGCAAGCTATTGGTAACTTGTTCTTTCAGGATCAGGTAAAATGAATGAGTAATACAACATGGGTCAATGCATAATACAAGGAAGGTGGCAAGTCTCTGACGTTGATCACTATGGAACAATGACAAGAAGCTGGGCTTAAGTAGAATGCTAAATTGCACAGTACAGTATTTTGAAAACCTAAATAAACTGGATGCGTGACTTATCACAGTCCCCAAACAGCTTAATTTTGCATAACTTGTACCAGATTTGATCAAGGGATAACTTAAGGAAGTCTTCTCCAATCCTAGCTCTCCAGACACTTCAACTCTTGCAGAATTTTCTGATTCTGTGACTCTAATTCTGATTCCTGCTTCAGAAAACTCTTCTGATTGAAGTTTTGGAAATTACGTTCCCAACACATCCTGAGAGTGCCAGGCTGGAGAGGGACGACCTTAAGTCTAGCTGACCTTGGCAGATTTGCTGAAGTTAAAGTTTCACATTGGTAAACTATTTCTGACTCCTTTCTGCCCAGTGTACCTAGCACCAAACAAAGTTTTCTTTATGGCTGTGTCTCATATCAGCTATCTATTAATGGAACTGCTAGGTTTCCTATTAATGTACTTCATGGTCAATCTTTTTCTATCTTTTTTCTAAAAGGCATATAAACACAGGTTGGGAGAAAGCAACAGAGAAGGATTCTTGGAGCTGTTGTTTTCAGGAGGCCTCATTTATGGCTCATTTTAGAAAAGAAGAAAAGTGTATCTCCAACCAGTTTCACCAGAGCTGCTGGATGTAAAAATGCAGGGAAAAGATGCCATGTTTCCCCTCCATCCTGTTGCTAAATCTTTTATTAGCACCATTTCAAGAACAGATTGGGGACATCTGCTGATCTCTCCCATCCACAGATTATGGATTTGAGCCCTAATATCTTCAGGTTCCTGGTCAGGTTCTGTAACCTGAATAATTTAATGAATAATTAAATTAACTTCCATGCATTCTTCATGCCTACACCCAGAGAACCCTTTGTATGAGCTTAAGAAACCTGGACAAGCATGCAAAAGAAAATTACTATTGTGTGCATGCAAAATGAATGGAAATCAGGAGCATATGCCCTCTGCATGTTCAACAATGAGTCTTTCTCACACTCAGACTGCATCCACCCTACTCAAATACAGTAACTGAAAAAGAGAAAGATGATAATTCAAACATTTCAGAAAGAGCAGACAGGTGGATGGGAGGAGCTAAAGACACTGAAGGAAGAATGTTCAGGTTATCATACGCTTTGAAACTCAGCAGCAGGAGCGGCTTGACATGATTTCTTACATTACCCTCCCTCTTAATTCTATCAATCTGTTCTCCATTTGACTAAAACACAATTTAATGCAATTAAAATACACACATCTCAGAAGAAGGCCATCAAATAAATCAGTACTTGCTTAACATGCACCTGGTGTTTTTTTAAAAGGATAATAATACACATACAAAATATATGTAATAAACATTTGCAGTAATACAAAGCCTTTGTTCTGCACAATCTTTAGTTTGGGCATATCCACAAGCTGTTTCTGTTGTCTCTTTCACTTGCCTTTATGTTAAGGTAACCCTCAACATAGTGCACCTCTAATATTAGCCTTTGATCATGCTGCTTTACAAGAGGCCAGCCAATCCTAAATGCATTAATTAAATGCTTTTACTGCTTGAGCTCCATTAAAATGGAGGCCAAAAAAGCTACCAAAGAAAAAGAAAAAAATTACTAGTTGAGTTGCTTGCTCAGAATATCAAGATGGTCATAGCCCTTAAAGGCTCACAGTGGCTACTTTTCCAATTGGATCATTAGTGAAATAAAGTGGTTTCCACTTACCTTATCATTTTTGAAACTGGTTATTTAGAGACTTTCTTGCTGGATTTGTATGTATGGGGAGAAGATTTGCACATATCCTGGCTTAATAATGGCATGTCTGTCCATCTGAGTTACTCTCCTGGGAGGCAGAACATTATAGTCCCAGGTACCCAAACAAGAGTACAAATTCACACACCCATATTCCACAGACATCCGTATCTTCAGGAAATTTGCAAGGCTGAACTCCGCTAAGAATCAGTGATCAAACTTAAACCACTGAATCTCCAGGTGCTGCAATGCAAGTCAGTTTCAGTCTGCTAGATCCTGTTTCTGTTTACAGATGCTTAAATACTTGCATTGGTTTTAAAGAGTAGACCCACCCACATCTACATTTCCTTTCTCAGCCAGATTTGTTTCACTGGTCACTTTGAGATATACATTGGATGGGTGAATGTAGGGCTCCAGCTTTTATACATCTTCTATTGACATTTTCCCAATCAAGTCCCTTGGACTACAATTCCCATTCACTCCAGCCTTTGGCAGTGTTGGCTGGGGACGGTGGGAGATGTAATCCAACAGATTTGGAAGGAACCACTCTGGGGAAAGCTATAAACCCGGAAATTTAGATCGCATTAACACTCTTAACAAATCTAATACACCCCCAACGTGTTCTCTCCCCACCACCACTCCATCGTTTTGCTACAGGACGGCAACTCTGTGTGTGTGTCTGTATGTTTTACACGACGCTGCAAGGCGCCTTCTGGGTTGCTGTTATCAGCTTCCAGAGGTTTTACCACCAGGAAGAAGGAAAGCGGGGGTCGGGAGCCCGCTCGCGGGGCGCACCAACCCAAGTCTCACCTGTCTCTCCAGTCCGCAGGAGGCAGTCCGGGCACGTGGAAATCCTTCCCCGAGACGAAACCGATCCCAAATGATTCCACCCCTCCTTGCCTGGCAGGATAAAAGTTTCCGTGTTTCCAGCAAAACACCCAGCCCAGCCGGCGGGTGCTGCTATGATTAAGCTTGACTTTCCTTAAGCCTCAAGACCTCGGCTTGACTTCGCTTTGGGCCCCTCCAGTCTCCAGATGGATTCGGACCAGCCGGTCCACCTCCCTCTTTTTCAGGCGCAGCCTCTTCTACCGATCCGTTGCTCCGAAGCCAATCGCTCCTCTCTCTTTCCCTTCCAGCCTCCCTCGCCTCTCCTTCTGCCGTACTGTGGGAGGCGGGCTTGGAAATTAGTGTCAATGCACGAAACAAACACGTTTCGTTCTTTCGTTCTTTTTTTGTCCTCAATCTTTCTGAAGACGTCTGTTCTTCTTTCTCCACCTCAGGAGAAATGTATCTTAGAACTTTTACGTTGTTGACGTGTGCATTTGTCTTCCTCCTTTTTTTCTTCTTCTTTTGAAGGAGTTTCTTTTGAAAGAACCCTCTACAAAAAGAAAAGAATCCTCCATCTTAATAGTTACTTAGATGGAGCCCTGCATTTAAAAGCAAAGAAGGAAATGCGAAAATATTGGAAGTTGGGAAGAGCCAGGGCTGATCTAGGTCCCCAATATTTTTCTGCAAGGGTAGTGAGTCATCGGCCTTCCTCAAGGCCATTTGTATGTATACACTTTGCTTTAAAATGCAGGGGTAGGCAAACCACACACCTTACAGCTAAAGGCCACTGGATATGTTTCCAATTCATAAGAAGGATGTCAATACTGCCACTATAAATGAAAAGTAAAAGTAATTTCTCTCCTATCTAGAATGGAATATTTTATGTGTATGTATATGTGGGGGGGGGGGCATGTGTAAATTGTGGATGGAGAGGGAGAAAATGTCCCAAGAAATCAGTCTCAACTTTGCTTGCAATCTGATGATTTGAGGAAAAATTCAACTGCTGAATATTATCGGATATTGATCATCACAATCAGACAGATTACTTGTACTTTTCCAAAGGGTTATAATCAAAAGTACTTATGGAAGATTATTTGTTCCTTGACATCCCTTGAAGTCCCCCTTCCACCCATACTCACAGTTTAGGATAAAGGATAGGGTTTTCTCACCCATCTCCCTGGGGGAAGAGGATGGAGTTATCTAATCCATGTTGATGACTTCCAAGTATGAAAGCAGAGGTGTGTGGATGCAAATTGTTCTTCTGCACTAGTTGATGAAGAGATTGTTTTTTTATATGTAAAATAACATTTTAACAATTTAGGAGAACAATGTTTCTAGCCACCCTATCTTGATCTCCAAAGTTTATTCATCTTTGACCCACATGCAATGCAACTGACATTTCCAAATAGGATAATCACATGTATGTACAGTACTTCTAGCTCATTTCTGGGAGGTGTCAAAGAAGTGTAATATCACCTGATGCTAGAAATAGTCCAGTTTTGGGTGAGTGCTACATCAGTTCAACTGCCAAAGATAATTTCGGTATATTCTAAATTGTTGTCTTTATAATAAGGAAGAAAAGAGCCAGGAGTACTCATGGATGGAAAAGGGTACTTCCTAAAATAATGAACACTATATGTGTGCCTTGTTTCCTTACACTCAGTGCTCACTTTTTGCTTGAACTTTGCATATGCACTAGCTTTATTTTTTCTCTTAATGGTAGCAGCAATGGCCATACTCATGATTAGAGGATATTTTTCTGGATTAAGATGGGAAGCAAATTTCTATCTTACAGCTTCACTAATCCTGTTCTCGACTCTGTCCTGCATATTGACTGAATATATGGAAGAACCAGTCTAATCTATTTTGCTACCCAAGATACTTCCCACATGAGGCCAAAAATCCCCCAAATCCTTCTTCTCCCAACCTTGATAATAAATGTGCAATAATAAATTTGCTGCATGTTCATAACATCCAAAGCCTGCTGCCTAAGGTAGCCAGTTCACTCTGCTCCAGAGAACGGCCAGCTTCCAGGCATGGAGTGGAAATGAGATGTTTTTGATGGCTCTATCCCCACCTGAAGTCAGGGTTGGAGATCAAGAAGCTCAGCTTAGGTGCATAAATCCCTATTCTCCTTTTCAGCTAAATGCAGAGATGAACCACAGAGCTCCCATTAAGCAAAATGAGACTGTTGCTTCAGGATGCAAAAGCTGGGAAGCAGCAGTCAGTTACTGAAAGTCAAAGCTGTGGAAAACTCAGCCTATGTTTGCCCCTTAAGGTAACTCTCTGCTTTTAAGTGCAATGGAAGATGCTACTGTGTCACTAGAACTGAAGGGAGGATCAACTAACAGTCCAGCTAGCTTTTATCTGGTTCTTCATCATGGGCAGAATAATAACTTGGCTCAGCCTGGTCCCATTCTATGTCCACTGATTTACTGACACAGAGAATGAGCTTTCTCAACCTGACACCCCTCTCCAAATATTTTGGAATAAAACTTTGGCCATGGGGGGAATTGCTAGAAAATAAAGATTTAGGGAAGGGTATTTCATTAAGGTCCACATTCTCTAACCCACTGTATGGGATTAATTCTAAAAAATAATGGTTGGTTGATGCTTTTGCTTATATATGAGCAAACTCTGGTCTCAGCCCTATTTTTGTTGTAGTTGTAGCAGTAGTTCAGAAAATGTATGGTTGTAGAATCTCCTTGCACTTTGTATGCACATACAAAAGATGATTCACATTCAAAAAAGGTCCTACACACACATGCACATTTGGAACATATGTGGCACACCCTCAGTGTGGTGCCAGCTAGTAGAGGCATAAACATAAGTCATGCTAACATCTTCAGTTCATCTTGGATACTCTTGTTTATGCTTCTAAATTTCACAGCCAGTTAGAACATTCTGTCTACTTTTCAAGAGAAAAGTACTACCCATTTCCTCTTTTTCTTTCCTTCCCCAATTAAGTCTCCCTTCCACAAATACCATTATTTTGAGAGAGATAGCCAAACCCTGCTTGATGTATCCATCTGTCATCAAATAATGAAAAAGTTGCAATGAATAGCAAAGGTTAAACATATATCTCTGGTCACTTTCACTGTATTATTATATCAATTTATTTTACATCATAGATCATTTAGAATCACAAATCATAAAAATGTAACAGTAAAAGCATGTACTCAAAAAACTGCAGTGAGAGAAAAGCAGCTATATCTGGGCTTTAGTCAGTTTTGGTTAATCAGCTGTGGCTGATATTGAGGACCATTGCAGATAGAATCAGTTGTGCTATCTTCTGAAATGTGAAGTGGTGTGTAGAAGTGTTGCCTTTCAGCCATTTTTGTTTAGGATGTGGTAGTGTGGCTTTATTGTCGCATGTGTTTCTCAGCTGAATTTCATGAAGGCCTTACTGTAGTCTAATTTTAAAAGCCTTCTGCAAGCAGACAATTCAGACCTCTGACCTGAGTGATCTGACCCTTCTCTGCTCCACAGAGAGAAGCAAGAGAGCCTTGGAAAGATGTTAGAAATAAAGCTTTCAAAAAGAGTGATAATGGGTGACTGCAATACTTTTAGCTCTGGCTATATTAACTGTTTGTTGCAATCCAGATTTATGTTTACTGCATGTGTGTCTTCCAAGGTAATCCCTGGGGTCAATGGGAACCTTAAAAGCAAAAAGCTTGTTTACCTCCTAGTTCTAGGGTGCTATTCCTTCTTCCCCATCATCTGTTCCCTTAGACACTACTTTCCTTCTGTTTAAAAGTCTTAATTATGTATTTATACAAACCATTATGTTAAGATTTTAATAATGAGTTAAATTTGACTATATAGAATCATATGATCTGAGCTTGCCTTTCTGTTGAAACAAAGCTAATTCAGAAGCTGAACTGACATATTTAATTGAACCAACATTCAAAATCTGTTGCATAGTCATCTTTCCAGAAGTCCATGATTACTTTTTTTCACAATAGTCCAGGCACAATTTATTCAAAGTTCTTCATAAACTAATAAACTCCAATTTTTTGGAATATACTTAAACAACACATTAACATCTTTGAATCTTCCTTTTAAAAACCCAGTTCATCACAGTAATAATATCTAACCTATAAGAAACTACCAATGGACGTGATCATAACACGTGCATTAGAGTTTCTTCAAATGTGTCAGATCTCCAGCACAGAAAGGATGGGAGCCAACTTTAATCAAACATCCTTTGAGAAGTCCGGTAAATCCCAAAAGTATTTTTACTGAATTAAATGAGTGTTTAAAGATGCTTAATATTCATTCAAACCTAAAGGCACTGATTTTGCAATACAGGATGTTCTATTCCATCTTTCTTGTATGTTATTCAGATGTAGGCTTCTGAAGTTTTTAAAATTCCTGATAATGCATTATTAATTAATTTTTCATAATAATCAATCTTAGCTCAGTCTCTATAAAGCTTTTTTCAAAGTACATGCTTTTGGAATGTTGGAAATCAGTACGCAGTGTTTCTCAACCTTGGCAACCAGCCAACCAGCATGCTAGCTGGGGAATTCTGGGAGTTGAAGTCCACACATCTTCAAGTTGCCAAGGTTGAGAAACACTGCAATAGAACATTAGGGTCAAACAATGAAGCTAAGAAGGGTTTTAAATTTATGTGCCACCACTCAGCTGCATTAGGTAAGTTACATTCCCATGACAATGCTTCAAAGAGAGCATTAGTTGCCTGTCCCTTAGCAGCAGGAATTCAAGGATCTTTTTCTTGTAGGCCAGCTGATCAACTGGCTAGTGGGAAAAACAGATGCAGCACTTTCTGCAACAAGTAGCTGACCAGGAGGAAAATTTGCTAAACATGTCACTGGGCAGGAAGAGAAAAGCAGTGAGAATTTCCTTTGCATCTCAAAGATCCATTTTAAGATAGGTGGTTTCATTCTGCTCCTCTTACCAGCAACAGAAAGATGATCAGTCCTGGCCAATTAATCAGGCTGATCTGTTATCATAAAAAGTAGATTAGTTGCACCACATATGTGGCATATAAATCTACAAGACAGTCAGCTTTCTCATTTAAATTAAATTATTAAGCATGCTTTGAAATATCTCTCATTGAAACTGGGGTTTGAAGTGCTTAAATTTGGCTGAAGCAAGTTTTTAAAAATATCTCACTTTGGGTAGAGTTAACTTACATTACACATTGAGACTATTTTAGTATTTCGACAGGGGAATTGCACTCTGCTCTATAAGGATTTTATAATGATAACTGCTAGATCTGCTTAACATACCATTCCTGGTTTTTTAAAAAAAACATGCTGAGGTAATGTTCAATATTAGCTTTGCTTATCTATTGTAGGTTTCAACTGAAATACTATACTTAGGATTGTTTACCTGCTC